TGGAAGCACTGTCTGACGCGTCTGCCTCCGCGACCCGAAAGGAGAAGCGGCGATGGAAGATGAAGATTTTACAGTATTCAAACGACGAGCTTACTAAGCTTGTTATCGTTCATCTGCGCATTGGATATCATTGGGTTAAGAATCGGAGGATTGTTCATAGATCCAGGCGGAGCAGAAGCCTGCAACTGAGAAGACAGGCCGAAGAAGCTTTTAAGATCTTCGATTCGCTGCAGTGCTTCCTGCCGATGTTGTCGCTGAGCTGGTGTCAGCTGGTCATCCGAAAATCTCGATTTGTCTCGAGGGCTTCCTGTTTTTGCTTGTTTCTATAAGAAAGAGCTTCATCAGTTCAAGACGACAAATAGGCATCAAATAATCCTAAAAGCTTAGATCCCAATAGCAAAATGCAAGCTGTGCAAATAAGGCAGGTGACTACTCAGCCATTCCCAGAGATTACGCTGAAATAAGTTAAACCAATCACTGGAGATCAAGTAGGTCAGACACCATGGCAGCCGACATTTACTGAACTTAGAAACTCTGTATAAATGAACTTTTCGGAATGATTTATTTTCGTAATATCTCACGTGATTTACATTAAGGCAAGGCGTCGTCGGTAAACATAACAATGGGTAAGCAACTAAGAATTAGCTTAATGAATAAGGAGTAGTAAGACGAAGCCGCTCACGGATTATGGATTTGTCACAGTGTTTTTTGTCAGTTTTCTTTATGATTTTGACGTAATACTTCTGTAAATGCAGTTGGTACAGCAAAAAATGACTGACGGCGACGGGAATGCAGCGTGGGACACTTACTGCATTAAAGTGTGCCATTTATTCCCTACGTCAATTTGTGCATAGATGACAATATGAAAAAACGGCACTCATTTATATTCAATCAAATCTCTTTTCCAACAGTACTGCGTCTAAAACCTATAAGATTTAGCGAAGTAGCAACGTATGCCCTATTAAGGAGGCATTAAATCATTGAGACGTCAACAAGATCCCCTATGCCTGGTAGGGCAGTACTAATCAGAACAAGTACATTTAGCACGGAAGTATGAGAGGTCGCCGTCTTTACTAATCGTCATATAGGGTAAGGTGAATGCATGTGTCGCATTCCGCTCAATACAAAATGACACTAGTTGAAATGACTGAAGTATAACGGAGTACGTATAAATGCAATATGCTGTTTATCATAATATATCAACTTCTATCATTAATTAACAACATATTTACCGGTGAGTGGTGGCGGTCAATCTAAACATCCGCGGTTAACGGTCTACTGTAGGAAATTACAGGGTGTAAACTAAGATACTATCTGCGCATGAATAAACCGCATGAATGATGCAGCCGGTATGACATACTGAACGTCCGCTCATGAAACATACTGAACGTCACCAATGAGCGGCAATATGCTATACTAACCAGAAAATTACCGAGCGAAGCATTTACGTTGCACTTCTTCAAAAAAAACGGTGGATCTGAGAATTATTTTAATGGTCCCTAAGCATACATAAGCCAGGAAGAAATGCCTTAAATTATCACACGGTCTGAAGTTATGGCTGTTAACATAAAATAGGCAGTAATATTTATCATACCTCCGGAGTATGAAGTCAGTTTTCGATCTTAAAATATCCCTACAGCATTACAAGATCGCTTTAGCAAATAAAATGACACGAAATACATATCTGCATAAGGAATGCCAAAAAATTATCAATGAACTAAGGCTTTTTTGAAAAAAGCTCAATACTCATCTGGTGGTGCAACAGCATATGCTGGCTAGGAAAATTATGCAGATTTCTAAATTTATGTAATAAAATAGTGCACAGCATCTAAATCGATTTAGTACACGCTATTACACCTGTTCCATGAGATTATGTAAATATGTCACGAATTTCAAATTTTTACGTCTGGTGCTGTCCAGTACTTGCGAACTGACACATTATACGATGACAGAAACTCGTCGGGAGTTCCTAAAACGCCATTGCACATTTGCTGCAGTACCTGAATGCGGTACCACACTCCCTTTATAAGCAAATATTCTCA